GAGAGAATAATGAGAGACTTCCTGATACCGGCAAAAGGTATAAATATATATAGGTAGCAAAGTTGAAAAACGGTTGTTTCTTCTTTGAAAGCCGCAAGCAGGGTTGCCAACAGCCAAGTCGCAGTAAAAAGGAGCCAACGACGCGAAAATGTATACATATTGCAAATTATTATAATCATGTATGTGGGGTGTACATTACTCTCGCACTCGTGTCGAGTGCAATAGGGCTACTTTTTGTATGTATACATAAATGTCGTGCGTCCAAATTCGGGATGAAGACAGTATACCACTCGTTATCAAAGTACTGCTCTCCTTTTATTTTTTTTGGCGACGCTTTAAAAAAGGTGAAATAATAAAAATTCCGTCTCCTCCTTTCAGAGTTGAAAAATCAATAAAACGTTTTACGGCTACACCAAAAAATGTCTCGAAATGTTGATAAATCGAAAAAACCAAAAAGGACAGCGATCGGCTACCGATCGGCTACCGATCTCCTTACAATATAAACCATGACAAGCATCAGACTCGCAATTTTTACACTAACGCGATCAAAAGCATCCACGACTAACATTAAAAGTAACAATATTAATTAAAAAAAAAAAAAAAAAGGGCGAAGCCGATTTATCCATAGCAGCTGGAAATCGGCCATTAATACCTGATTTTCAACGGCAAATTTTCTCCGCCACACACATACACATTATAAGCGTTCCGCATAAAATTACACCAATACACACACAGACAAAGAAGGTGGAGGGGAAAAGGGGGGACCGCGAGAAAGGTATGCGTCGTAAGAAGAGACAGGCGCACCTTGGAGCCGAGAGAACGGGAGTTGGGGAGAGAGGAGGAAGGTCGAGGAAGGCCACACTCGCAGCTGCATGCGCTCTACCTGTACATATATATANTATTTTGAATTTGGTCTTTCTCCGTGCACTCGCCTCCGGTCTATATTTACACGCCGAACGCGAAGAGAGTGAGAGAGGGGGTATTCTAAAAAAGAGGAAAACCCGGGAGGGAAAAAAGAGAAAAGTGATGCCTCTCCTTCTTCCCTCCCTCTTGTATCTTTCCGTATGTTTATCTATGTAGGTATACACACAGAGCACAGATGTTGCGTGGCGTTGTTTTGGTGACGGCGTACCTATGTTTTTTGCTCTTTCCTCTCTTTGAGAGTTCTAATTGTGGCTTTACTCCTACATGTACATTTCCGTCCCGCTGCTGTTGCAGCTCAGCTTCTCTTCTTCCCCCCGCAACCAATCGTTGTCGTCGCCGCAGCTAAAAAAAAAGGCCAGAGAGCTATACCTATATATAGGTACTTTTTTTTAATCTTCCTCACACCTGCCTGGCAACACGCGCGTCTCGATATCCAACCTTACATTATATATATGTATATGTAATACATTTTTTCTCTCTCTTGAAGATTTTATAATCCAAAGCAGTATTCTCCTCCGATTCACGCACAAAGGTCTCCGTTGTGGGCGGCACTCTTTCGATCGATCGGCCGATGACGTTTTTCCTCATAGAGTGCCATTACGGTCCATATAGCGTTGTTTTTCTTTCCTCTTTTCCACGCAAGACGAGCGCGCCTGCGGCTCTTTGTCATCCGTGTGTATTATTTGTTAAAGAGCGTGATATCGGACCTCTTGGAATTTTCGGTGCGGACTCGCTCATGGTACCGACCGACAGCTCCTCGGATGACGCTCATGGTGTTGTCTTCTTATTTTCTCGTAGCGCGAGCGGATATGATCAAAAGCTTTGTATTTTGTTATATTTTTGCCGTATACATGCGTGTAACGCGGAGCTTATTGAAATTACTTACCGGTGCTGAAAATTAATCTTCACAATTGAAAATCGGTTAGCTGTGAATCGAATGATTTACAAATCCAGTGTTCTTTACGTTTGAATTGAACTAGACGCACGTGTACCGATCAAATAAATCGGCTGGCAATTCCACCCTCCGACATCAACGTCGCATAATCACGCAACACACAAAGTACATTTCGTAGTAGAGTACATGGGTAAGTATAGGGTTTCAATTTTCGATTCTCGTGTACATAGAGGAGATTGGGCCTCTTTGTTGCAGCGCGAGCGCGTACATATATACACACAAAGATAACCAGAATCCACATCGGGCCGAGAAGAGCATTTGTTCGTAATTGCCGATCTCGGCGATACATGCATATAGACATACACCCCTTCTTCTTCTTCTTCTTACCCTGCTCGAATCGGATAAAACTTACGTAAAAGCAGCATACGTGCTCGCCTCTCTCTCTTATTCGCTGCATACATGTATACGTATATAAGGCGTGGAACGAGACGCGATGAGCCTGTACCTATCTACGAGAATCCGTGCATATTTTCTCACAGCCTCTCTTTTCTCCCGACCATACGCTGATTGGTATATATACGTATGCGTATCCTTAAACATACATAGGTATGTACATATATTAAGTATTACAGCGTCTTATTGCTTTTCAGCACACACGTGCGGGGCACGATCGGTAAGAGTTGAGATTTAAAGTCCTGCTTGCACACGTGCTTAGAGAGAGAGAGAGAGTGCCCGTGTTGCTATGCCGCGGCTCAAGAACGGACAGTTGTATATATCAGGAGATGGGAAGTTGGGGAGGTGCAGCGTCAGATTTGGAATTCTCTCGCTGGAAGAACTCCTCTGGAGCGTACCGATCTTTTTTCCCTCACATTTCGGAATGAAAGTAGCCCGCTTCGCGGCAGTGGCTAAAAAAATCGTAAACACCTGTATACACCTATATCAATTTACCGGTAATCGAATCCCGTGATAGGCGAAAAAAAAGGGGTACAAGATCGCGAACCCGTTACACGACGGCAAACAATCGGCTTTCCCATAGAGCGCGACTCTCCAATCTCTAACCGATCCTTTTAATCCGCTCGCAGTGCCGCGTCCCTTTTTCTCGCGCTCCTCCTCCCCGCGTTTTGCCATCCGTCTCTCATTCGGTCCTCCTCGTCGTCCACCTCTTTTTTGATGATGATGATGATGATGATGATGCACCTCCCCACTCGTCCGTTCCGAGAACGTATATCGTAAGAAGCAACGCCTTGCATTCCCCGGCTCGAGTCACGATTCCCTCGCCCACCGATCTCTACATGTATATCCGTACACACATTTGCACGATATACGAGCAGGACCTCCATGGGATCGGCGTGTGCAGTATTTTCCACAAAGGGGGGAACGAGCGATTTTCGCCTCCCGACGATTCTCAGTCTTGCTACATTGCCGTAGATTATCCTCCAAAACGGCACGGCGCTCTCGCGTATACACTTACTTGCTCTCTTTCCAAAGCGACGACTGACTGCCGATTTTTTTTTTTTTTTTTTTTTTTCTTCACGAGGCTGTAAGAAGATCGCGCGCCTTTACGTTTTCTTGGTGATGGACGACTCCTCTCGCTTTCGCACGCTCATACCTGTCAGCGCACAGTTGTATAGTATATACTTGCGTCCACCTTTTGTTCCTTGGTTTTATTGCCGATACTTGGGGATTATCCTCACCCGCAAAAGAGCAAAGGAAAAGGTCCAAGAGTCGGGCGCATTGGACGATTAATGGAAACAAACACCTACAAGCTAAAGGTGCTTTCAAAAATGAAAAAAACAAAAAGAATAAATAACAACAATAGACTCACCGATATGGCACACGCGTCGAGATTACAGTTATCACTTGATTTATTTTAAAATTTGCCGTGCAAAACTATGGAATATAGGGAAACGATTTTGCAGTAAAAAAAAAAACGAAAACGAAATCGTTTCGATCGAAAGGACTGGCGTTTGATTTCGTTATCCCTCGCCCTTTTATTCCATGTACAGATGCACAACAGTACACACACAAGGACCGCAAATTAATCGTTAATTAAAGGCATGTAACGACCGGCCATTCAATCGGGAAAGAGCAATTAGTCGTTTCCATTTCAGCGTGCAATCAGAGATCTCAGGCCCAAAAAAGTTCACCCGATCCAACTTTCTCCTTCCCCGCCACGGACTTGGTTCTTATTGTATATACCTTAAACCAATGCCCCAGCGTGTAGATATATTATATACACGCGCATCCTCCACTCCTTTTTTTTTTTTTTTTTTAATCCCTCCGCCTTGTACATTTATGTTCCGGCCAGCATCAACCGATCTCTTTCTTCTTCTTTTTCTTTCGTTGTTTCTTCGCTCCTTATATTATACATACGTACCGTCGCTGGTATAGCCTCTCTCCCTCCGTTGGATCAACGAACGACCTTCCTCGGACGTGTACGACCAACTTTCGTTTTTTTTTTTTTTTTTTTATTGTCATTTGATTTAACTTTATCCCCATTGGTTTGGGCACGCACGCGCGCTCTTACGCGAATCTAAGGTGCGCGGCAACGAATGACCGCTAGAGAAAAATCATGATTACCAAGTGACGCAGCCTCATGGGCTTATGTTAGAAAAAAAGTACCAAAAGCAACTAAACGTATAATATGTGTCCGGATGTCTGATGGAGAATCTGCTCCTCCTCTGAACGTGTGTTGGGTAGATAAAAAAGCCGGGCCGTTGAAAGGAGGAAAAAACAGAGAGTAGCCCCGATCGGGGGGGAAGGAAGGAAGGAAGAAAGGAAACCGATCGTAATAGACGCGTCTCCCCCCACGTCCCGACTCCTCCTCCCTTTGGTATACAATATAATATATACCTAAAGCATCCTCGAGCCCAGACAGACACACGCACACTAGAGGCGATTTATACGTGCAATATATCGACCACATGCAGGAGGAGGAGGAGGAGGAGGAGATCGTTTCCGTCCCGCTGCTGTTGCAGCTCAGCTTCTCTTCTTCCCCCCGCAACCAATCGTTGTCGTCGCCGCAGCTGTTCGCATGCCTTTCCATACCATCAGGGGCATGGGCTGACCACATCTTCCTCTCTCTCTAGCTCCGGGCGTGTTGGTTATTATACGAACCGAGCGCCGCCAGCCGGTCGTCGCTCGCCAAGCTTTCAGTCGAGTTGACGTCTCGGAGCAGAGCGCACGCGTTTCCCCTTGCGGTCCCGTCTTTTTTTTTTTTTCCGATCCCCATCAATGGACCATCTCGGTGTTTAACGCTTTCGCTGATAACCCCGTCGCTTATATACACATCATATTAATAGAGGCGCGATCGAGTAAAGTGCCGGCATAAAATTGTATAACGAGTTGAGGATTGAGCGAGAAAATCGGTATCGTCAAGATGGTGCGAGGATTGTCGCAGTGGACGAAGACGCTGAGTTTTCCGTCCCGGATGTCGCCCCAGCGGCAAGCCAAGGAGGCCAAGGGCTTCCACGTGAGTCCGAGCGCGAGCCCGACCTCGGTGGTGCTCACCCCGAGCCCCGTCAGTAGCGACAATTTGCTCCTCGACAAGTCACCCATCATCGCCGACCATGAGGTACATTATACGTGTATTTTACATTTTTTACTTTGTGCTTTTATTCGTTTTTTTTTTCTTTTTTTTTGCATCGTGCGAGTTTCGATAGTTTTCAAGGGGAGATTTATTTTGACGAATGTCTCCCTCTCCGATGTCCTCGGTATTTCCGTACTACTTTTTCATTTTTTTTTTCTTTTTTTTTTCATCGTTACCTTTCCATCGAGTTATTTTCATGTTTGCTTCACTCGAGATAATTTTTTCAACAAATGTTCACACTTTCGCGTGAAACCTTGTACAAAGAAGAATCCCAAAAAAGTCCGATGATGCAACCCAACGCGATTGAAATATTTCATTGGAATTCTCAATGAGCTTGGATTTGCATAAAAATTCTTGGGATGGTTTTATAAAGCGCCCGCAGGTATAATATAAACCATCATCAAGCGTTGCGTCTCAATTCAACTTATCGATCAAAAATTGAAAAATTTCGTCTATGAATTACCGATCGCGTGCCCGTCAACCTAAACATCTTCGCATGCATATTGTACGTCTTACAATTATGTAAAACAATCCCTACAGACACGCTTTTTACACCTCGATCTTGCTTACAGTTATATATATATATATATATACCCGAGCTCACACACAAAACCTCAGTACATAAAATCCCCAAGCGTCATCGCGCGAGATAAAAGCGTTTGGTCCCCTATATAACGGCTCCCTCGAGCACATCTCGAGAGATTCCCGCGCGTCAAAAGGTTGAATCACCTGGTACACATTTATGTATATAAGGACTCGCGCACCGGAGAAATGCCATTACTCATGGCGCTCCATTATAGACCACCTATCTGTCCCTCCACACTCACACATAGTTGGAATCAGAAGCTGTGTCGTATAGCTCGAGGTAGAACACCTTTTTTTTTTTTTTTTCCTTTTCTTTCTCAACAATGTGCAGGAAAAGTTTTATCCTTGTTTTCTCTCTCTCTCTCTCTCTCTCTGTACGGGTATGACACAATCAAGTCGAGCTAAGGAAAATAAATCAATTCAATAGGTACGAGCACATAATAATGCGTTCACGCACGTTGAGGAAATTGATTCACCGAGACTAAACCTCGACCCTTTCTCTGTTGGTACATACCATAGCTCGTACAGTGATATCGTTGCCCACACATTATAATATACTCGCGTTGTTATGCCTAATGTCATTTATTTCGTACGAGTCTCACACTGGAATGATACATAAGCTCTCATTACGTATAACATGCAGATGCAGGGTCATTAAATATAGTGTGCTCGTAGGTAAAATGCATCGATTTTATTGATTTACGAAATCAATGCTTCCAGGAAAATCGTATGACATAATGTGGGAACTCGTTTGAAAGGTATACAGGTAATATGATTGTCTTACAAAAATAGTCTTTTACGATTTCACGATCGCACGATATGCCAAATATTATACCATTGTACCGATGTGTAACCAAAGTAAGCAAAACTATAACAATTTCGATCCAACAAAGGTACAAAAGACAAAAAATCAACAGCGGAAACAATTACCTTGGATTACCCGTCACCACCGAGGAACGCCCAAGAGATCGGTATCGCGGGCATATCGGTAAACAATTACACGCACGTATGTGTCTTATCTCTCCGATCGTAAATCAGTCGATTGTCCGGCACCGCGTTCGTGTGTCTATATACACTATTCAAATGTCACTTGGATGGCATTTACATTAGGCTCTCGAGCACGGGATTATTAATCTGAGGGAGGGGGGGGGGGGAACAACGACGCGCGTCACAAAGCCGGGCACTCGCTATTCATACACAAAATATCTGACTCGGTGATTTCATTTTCTCCTTCTTTCTTTTCTTCCCATCGTCTCGAGCCGGCTATCGGTTTTTAATCGATGCATTAACGCTTCCCTGATGCACACATGTGTCGATGGGACTCCCTTTTTTCTCTCTCTCTCTTTTTGATCGATCGGCAGGAAGTAGGCGTACGTAAAGACTCTATGGGTCTTTGTACATAAATTTTTTTTTTCTTTTCGATTTAATGTGACGAAAGGTCGAACTCTGGTCTATGCACATTAAACCGATTTTTCCATGAAATTTTCACGATCTGTAGTTCAATGAGAATAATGAAATTCACCGCTCCGTGGCTAGATTTTTACGAGTGTCACCGAAGAAACACAAAAACAACACAAAAACAAAAATCTCGATCTCTCCCCCACCGTAATCAAGTTGTTGAATAACTTCCTCTCTCCCCTCCCCCCGCCCTAGAATGTACATACGAGTACAAAACAGAGAAAGCCTTTCCCGTCGCAGATCAAGGAAGGGTGTACACACGCGCCAGATGTTCCACCCTCCTCCTCCTCCTCCTCCTCCACGGGGTATAAAATACGCACTCACGTATTTTGAATTTGGTCTTTCTCCGTGCACTCGCCTCCGGTCTATATTTACACGCCGAACGCGAAGAGAGTGAGAGAGGGGGTATTCTAAAAAAGAGGAAAACCCGGGAGGGAAAAAAGAGAAAAGTGATGCCTCTCCTTCTTCCCTCCCTCTTGTATCTTTCCGTATGTTTATCTATGTAGGTATACACACAGAGCACAGATGTTGCGTGGCGTTGTTTTGGTGACGGCGTACCTATGTTTTTTGCTCTTTCCTCTCTTTGAGAGTTCTAATTGTGGCTTTACTCCTACATGTACACTATACGTACTTTAAGAGAGGGACGTATTTTTTTTTTTTTTTAATTATTTTTGTGCCTCTCTTTAATTATTTATCCAAGCGTATGGATAAATAACCCAAATTAAAAAAGAGTTTAAAATAAATCACAAAGATCGTACACGACGAAGCACATTTCTCGATGACCCAAAGCATTTTTTTTCAGCCGGGGAAAAAAAAAAAAAAAAACATCGAGGCAGTTGAGTGCGTGCGCGTGTACACTGCATCCGTCAAGAGAAAAATAATCATAGAGACATGGGGAGAGCGCAGATAAAGGCTCCAGAATCAGGGACTTGAATCTCTCGATAATTTTTTGTCCCCCTTTTACCACAATTATATATATATAGCAACGGTGTGTATATACAGTGTCCCTTTCTTTCTCTGGTGAAACGTGTTTATAAGGTGTGTGGATGTAGTATATGTATGTATACATATTGCCTGTACAGGTCCCATACGGCCGGCCCTTTCATTAGCCGATGAATGAACATTCCCAGGAGGAGCCTGTATATACAACGTTGGGACCCTGCGAAAAAGAGAGACAGAGAGAGAGAGAGAGTAGGGCGAGCAACAAAAAACCCGTCTTATGTATAGGTATATGTAGGTAGGTGCGGATTACGAGCCCGTAGTGTCTCTTTTCACCGGGCGAGTCGACACCTCTTGGTGGTCGTTTATTCTTGCTACGACGGGCGCCTCCGTGAGCGAAGCAAAGGAATTTCGCGTAAAATTTTCCTTTCGCATCAGGTATATATACGCGCGACGACAGGGCGAGACGCGTGCCGACCTGCCTGGGTGTTCTCGGGAAATTGCGCTCTTCTTTTTTGTCCGGGAAAATCACCGATCGGAGGGACCGAAGGGAAAATGGTACCTTCCCTCTCCCCCACCCTGTTCATCTTGTCTGTTGTGACTCATCCGACCCTTTTACAAAGAAAATGTTTTGCGATTGTATATATACGCGCCGTTGAGCGAAATCTTACACGCGTCCGTGCGGACATTCGTTTTACATGTAAACCGAATGCATATAATTTATGGGCTCTCGCGCACAAAGTACAATAATTATTCTCTGATGCACAAAGCGCAAAAGTTATTTCAACGACAAATTTGGAGGTGGACGTCTCTTTGAGCGAATATAATAAAAGTATGTATAACAAGGAAGTACGTGTGTAACAATCGGCGAGGGCATGTTCCCATCTTTATTCGAACTCGGCCAAATGTCGCGGTGTAAAGACCACTTCGAGGAGGAAGAGGAGGAGGTAGTGGACATAAAAACAAGAAATGTCGTACTTATACGTATATACAAACGCGATAATTACCAGATGATTCGTTCCACTCGGCTCCCGCGGTGACATACCGTCACAGACAAATTATGTACATACTCACGAAAATCCCCTGATGGCCCTTGTCATTCCGTTCCCATAGCACTGCACACGGGAGTGTCGTCTTCTCGGTACGAGAATTCACTCTGCGTGTAATCGCCCTGTCTTTATCTTCAAAATGTTGCCCCCCACTCCCCCCCTAGGGTGTGTGTTCTCACGTGCGCGGAGACGCCACCTCTATCGTGGAGTATGGACGCTATGTAGGAATATCGTGCCATACGTATACCATTATGCGTCAGCGAATTCCACGATTTTGTCCGAGAGAACATCGCAGAGCAACTATGCCCGCTATGCCCCACATGTAAATATGTTTGTCCCCGAGGAGGGGGGGGGGAGGTGGAAACGTAATAGTGCCATTATTTTCTCAACACTCGAATATTCAAAGACGGAATCTTGTGCGTAGAAGCTGACAACAAATGAAAGTCATCGGCTACATTCTCCGTGATTTGCTGATTGTGCAAGTTTTTTTTTTTTTTTTCTTTCGGTATAAAAGAAAACTAACGTGTCCCCTATTCGCTCTCCTGAACCTGCACCGAGGGCTACAACCCCCCGATGGACCCTACAAAAGCGATGTATGCCCACATCCTTTTATCATACGCTCGTGCGCACGTGCCTCCTTTACTCGTATAATAAATTCGCGAGTGCTGGGACGCTCTTTCAAACATAATGCGTGAGCGACCCGCTGTGCCAATTAAAAAAAAAAAAAAAAAAAAAAACCAATTGGTTGGTCCTTTTGTCTTTGTCTGGACGTGCGTGCTCTTATAAGCATATAGATTGCTGACGAAGGGGGTTGCCTCCCCTTTGTCCCACTGATTGCACTCTGCACCACTGGCCTCTCTTTGACGAGTCTACGTTCGTTCTTTCGAGCAAGTTTTTTTTTTTTTTTTTTTTTTTTTTTTTTTTTTTTTTTTTTTTTTTTTTTTCTTTCTTGTA